CTGCCCTTGAATCTGTAGTTTGGACATGTCCCCAAACTTCTTAGGACTCTGTGTATATATGTGTTAGGCAGGACCCCTTTTCAGGAGACCCTGTTGGGTCGCTTTTTAGGATACACCACAGACCACCCTTATTCTGTCTTTGCAGTATGCCTTCTCTAATTATTGGTGGTCCCACAGGAAAGGGGGGGAGACAACTTTACCAGACTCCCTTTCTCAGCCAGCTTTGTTAGTACCATTGGCCCAGGATGGCTCTGGGGCTTCGAGGCTGCTCTGAGCTATTATTGTGCCTGGCTCTGTCTCAGCACGATCCAACACAGACAATACAGCACACAGAGAGCATGAGGGATGAACAGTAAATACGAGGCCTTGGTTTTTTTTTTTAATCTTGTCAGTTTTCCCCTGATTTGTGTCCTTTATCCTAGCCCCTGTGCTATATAAGCTTCTCAAAGCTAATGCCCATAACGCCACCACCCACTGGTAGCAGCAGGCTGCTCGGCCACTGTGGGGTTATCATTGCAGTTATTTACAATGCCTGCCATTATTCGGCGACTGTACGTGTTAACCCAGTGGCATAAGGTTGCTCCAACACCTTCCCCTATGGTTTCTCTACACTCTGGGGGCCAAGAGAAATGACAAATATGCTGTCCCCCAGACTCTAACTGCCTGGCTCAGACAGCCCAATCACGTCCTGCCAGAGATGGAACAGCCCCTGCTGAAAAAGAAGGAATGCTGGGTAATTATGGAACTCAGAGGGTGCTTGACATCTCTGCCACCACCTTAAGAAAGTTAAAAATATTCCTCAGATGTATTTCTTTGCCTTTGGTAGACTCCAGCCCTCCATCCCACTTTGGCTTATTAAGAGCTCATGTGATTAGACCAATGGTGGCACGCAGTCAAGCTCCACAATGAATGCTAGCTAGTTGCTGTGGCTGCTGGGAGTGACTCCCAATAGAAGCCACATAGCTGCTTGGAAGTGAAAGATGATCCTATGCTTTGCTTCCTTGAAGGCTACCTGTACACAGCCCCCCCATCTTAGCATACAGAGGGGATGGTGTAGCAACTGTCTCAAAATGAGTTTGCCCTTAGCACAGGTGCTTTACAGACAATGCTGGAAGCACCTGGGGCCCAAGGAGCAGTGGCTCGCATGAGCTGTTCATATGAGGAATATACATATGTGAAGAACTGTTCTATTTAACTATGGAAAGGTAGCTTTGCAGAGGACTTAAAACCTAGAAAATCCAGTGTCTACAGAAGAACACAGGAAGGCGAGCCAGACGCTTTTTGTATGTCAGGGTCTGCAGAGAGGAAGCCAGGTACCTGGGTCTCAAAACACTTTTGAGTCAGGGAATAACTCTGTACACTGAAAACTGTATTTGACATGACTCCTGTTAATAACTTGTGAAATCGTGTGCGTATGCCTGGGGTTGTGAGAGATCCAACAAGGTAACAAAAGGAAAAGGATGCATCTCCCAAGTTGTCAATCTAAAGGTGGGTTCCCAGCACTGACCTGCTCACTTGGGCACAGGTACCTCTAGGTGGTGTCACAGATACACACCAGCTGGGTCTATGAGAACAGTATTAGAATGTCTGAGGAGCCTAACAGGATGTCAGGGGAGGGCCACCTACTCACCTCACATGGGAACATGAATAAGGCCAGAGAAATTGAGTAAAAGATTGAGATGACTGCAGTTAACAAATAGAGAGACACCAAATGTACCTAAGCAAGGTAGAATATGCAGGAACATGAGCACAGGGCCAGGGGAAGGCCTGTGGCTCTCAGCTTTGGCTCACAAAGCCCCTGAGTTTCTACCAAATTTGACACAGCAAAGCAAGAAAGGGGAAAGACAAGATTTCTAGAACCCTCTAGGAATTTGTTCTCAAACGTTGTGCATCTTGTATCACTCTTTCAGAAGAACTGTGTTGAGTCTTAAGCTATATTGGACACACACGAATATGTACCAATATGATATCTGCAGATTCGGCTATACTTTATTCCATATCATGTTACAGAAAACAACAATGACAGCTGACAAACCATTACATCCTTCATAATACAGACAAATTACAATTGGCAACACATATGCAACATGTAGTATTCCATTCTCCTTGCTATGTGTCACGTTGAAGCATAATGAGTCTCAGAGATACTAACCCCATTAAAAAGTACACATCTCAGTGCATCATATAAACAAGGGGTGGGGGGAGAGAAATAAAATGAAACAAGAAAAGAAACTGGAAATTCACTCACAAACAAGAAGGTAGATTTTATATGTGCCTCTATTATATGCTGCTGTGAGAGGGGGCAGTGAGAATAGGAAATTGCTTATTTCATTTGAGATTTTAAAAAAAATTCAGCTTGGTATATGAGGAAACGGAAGACTAATACAGTTTCCTCTGTGTACAAGCCAGGAACTGAGAAGGAAGTTATACACAATTATGCAGCATATTTCTATGTATAGGGGCAGGCAATGATCTACCCCAGTATGTACACCCTAGACATCCTCTTATATAACAGAAGATTACAAGCCAGTAACATTCACAGATGGGTGTCTGCCATGGATGTATACACAGGGTACTGATTACAGTGGCTGTCGTATGCACACAGAGAAGAGGGCACCAAGAGGTCCTGGTTTTCTTACATCCCCACGGGCTCCCTTGGAAACTTTTCTAGTCACTTGCGAGCTAGAAACGAATTCTCATCCTTGCATGGTGTGTAGACAGCTGGCCCTGACTTACACCTCTAACTTTTTTCCTAGTACAGCAAACACATTTTTGCATCCTAAGTATCTTGTATTTCTTAACTAATTAGACTGTTCCCCTTAAGAAGACGGAAGCTAAGTGCCATACTTCCTTTCCAAATACTGTGTGCAGTGAGGTTAAACTGATACAATCGTCATGCCAAGGTGTTTGCGCTATTCTTACCATCTGTCCAAACTCAAGCTATTCCTTCATAGAAAAATAATCTCACCAAGCATTCCAGTGCTTTTTCAATAGTATAATAACATGTTAATGAACACAGTCTGTACTGATTTTCATGATGCCCTCAGAAAGGGCAGGAGGGAAAAGCAGGGGTGGGGTTGGGCAGACACTTCCGATTTCCTTCCTTGATGGCAAGGACCAGGAACTGACACCCTTCTAACCAAAGAGGTGTGCCTGACCTGAGGCAGACCCCACACCAAGCAGTGTTGTGTCTTACTTCCCAGAAGCTGTCTAGACAAGGGCATGGATCGCTAGTTGCCTTTACATTCTTACTTGAAAACTTTCAGCATTAGCACGGAGCCCCTGACTTATACTTAGTGAAATATAAACATGATGTGTCCCCCTCCCCAGACATATGGAGGATTCTAAGCAAATCACAGGGGAGGCTGTTTTTTGTTTTTAATTACACATAAAGTTTTCTCCCCACTTAAAGAACTCCCAATTTAATTATACCTTAAGTCAAAATACCTGTAAAGACTTCCCATGGAGGACTGAGAATCATTCCCAGGCAGCTAACAATAAACAACACTGTCACCTTGCCTGACACTTTTGCCTTCTTTCAAACCATTCAGGAAGCAATTCCTTGCTTAGTGTCTACAAGATTGCAGTTACATCTTCCTCTGGACAGGCTAGAGGGTGGGGCTATGCCTCTGACTCAGAGACAATGCCTTTGAAATCTAGGAAGCTGGCTCTACTTCCAGGGACACACTGGGTTTAACTAAAAAGAAGTCTATCCCTCATTTGAGAATCAGAAAGCCCTTGACACACTGGATCACAGTTCCTCATCTTGATCCTAAAACTGTGTGACACATTTTAAGCTCATAGTTTCTCCTCTTTTCTCTGGAGTAGTAAAACAAAGAACAATGGGCACAGATGTGTTTCCATGGGGTTTTGTGTCAGGAGGTGCAAAGGGCATGCTTTATGTGAACTTTCCTAACTGCCCCTTGGGCCGGGCTTTACTGGGGTTTTATAGTGATGCTACCTGTGGAAGAGGCAGGCACTGGGCAGCTCCCCACAGATCAAGGTGTAATGTATGCTAGAGTCCTCTCCCCAGTAACTCAGACCTGCCTTCATCTTCCAAGGTCCCTAAGCGCCTTAAAACAAGGGAAGCTAGGTCTTTCTTTGCCATTACTATTTTTAAAAGCAAAATTCCCACATTGCTTTTTAAGAACTGAATTTGAAGTTATTGCAGGAGACTGGTTGAAAGTCTGGCACCCAGTGATGCCTTCTGAATGGCTTGGAATGTTTCTGAACAATCCAATTCAAAGGTGCTTTGTTTTAAGTGAGCAATTTGTTAACTCTAGATACATTTTAAATTTGCTTTTTAAGCATTATTCAGCCAAGACTCACCCTGACAGGTTTTTTTTATTTTCATCCAAGTTTTAAGAAAGATATTCCTCACTATTTTCTCCAGTTAAACACACACACACACACACACACACACACACACACACATACACACACAGAGAGAGAGAGAGGGGGAGAGAGAGAGAGGGAGGGAGGGAGGGAGGGAGGGAGAGAGAGAGAGAGAGAGAGAGAGAGAGAGAGAGAGAGAGAGAGAGAGAGAGAACATAACAGAGCTGATGGAGAAAAATAAGATGTTGACAAGACTCAGAACATATGTAAAAAGTTGCCTTGTTTTCTACAGGTTAAAAAAAGAAGTCAGCCTTCTGCCTTGTCTTTGTTCTTGGTGCTTGTTTCTCTACCTACAACCTGCCCAGAAACAGCCTGGCTATTGGGAATGTTATGCAGATTCTGGTTTCCTATAACTGTGGGGACATGTCCAATAAAAAAGAAAACCCCACATTTCCAAATGTCCTTGAAGGTAAGCAACAGGTTGGGCCCCACTGTCTGGGACCATGCAGTCTAGTCAGTTAGAAAACATGGGGTTTGTTTTAGCAATAAGAATGTCCTTCCTGGTGGCTGCAGAATGTACTCTGTTCCCAAAGAAAACACACATTGTTTCATGCCACTGTGTGGCTTTCAAGGGCAGACATTACTGAGGAAGTGTGAACAGCAAATGTGTTGTCTTAATGTATTTAAGACACGGCTGCTGAAAGCATAAAAACCTTCACAGAGACACTGTGCAGCAGAGGGAAGTCAAACAGAATCACACACAAAAGACTGAAAAGAGTACATGCCACATATCAGTAAGGAAAGCTTAATCTTCACATAGCTCTTGGAAATCACAAGGTATCCAAATGCGTGCAAGGTTTTAAATAAATTGCAGAGAAAACAGGGTCTTGCCAGCTTCAATTTTCTTGTAAGTGAAATCCACCACAGGGGGTAGAAGGGAACTGATCCAGGAGGCCCACACTGTTGGCCACTTCGTTAGTGTTTTTTTATTTTTTTATTTCTTCTTCTTCCCAGAATGATGACAACTTAATCCTGGAAGAAGAAAAATAGAAAATTGTTACATTAAGAAAAAAAAAAAAACTTGCATCATTCATTTTTACTAAATTACTTGAGACATTAAAATTGGTCAGGCTGGATTGAGCCCACTGTCGCTCTGCTCGGCTCCATGGAGAGCATACATCGGAGGTAGAACAATCTCCTTTATGAAAACATTTCTTAAATATGATAAACAAATGTCCTGACTATATTTTCTTCCCCTGAAATACTGTAACTCTGTGAATGTAAATGGACTAAATTCCTTTTGGACTATTTAGGGAAAAATGCATCCAGCTAAATTCCTTCCCTAACCTATTAGAGGCAATGCTGGTCTTAATTAAGTGCCCAGAGCACCAGAACATTAGAAGGACAGACCGTCATGTTTGCGTGTATGAATGCAAAAGTAAAAAGTGGATTACACACATGCCTTTATAATACCTTGGTTGCTTGTTATCAGTTATATTAGATTCACCAGAATGGAAGCTGGCCAGCGTGGCACCCCCTTCCCAACAACCTCCATGCTTCCAAAGACACCAACCTGAAAATGGGAACCCATTGTAGGCAAGGGTGCCAGTGAAAATGAAGGAACCTCCCCTGTACATCTTTCCATACTTTTTCAAAAGGTTCTTGTTTATCTTTGTTGAACCTCTGGGTAGGAAAGGGAATATCAAGTTTGATAAAGTGTGGGGCTCTCCAACTTCAGGTCCCACAGTTGAAGGAGTTGATAACATTAGTTTCACTTTATCTCAGAATCCATTAGTTAAGTAGGCTTAGAAGCTTGTTCCTGGTCACTGCCTAGCCAGGCCTCTGCCTGTTACCATCTACAGGAACATCTTGTCATCCTGCTGGACACAGAAAAAATGGTGGCCAAAGCTGCTACCACAGATTTGACTATGTAGAGACCTTACCCACTTGCCCTGATGCTGCTCCCCAGGGCTGCATCATGGAGGACATGCCCTGCTGGGCAATGAACTAGTAGTGAATGGTCCAAGAACCAAGAGTGCAAAGTTCCATTCTTATACCTAAGACACAGGAGAACAACATCATCCCTATCCTCTACTGGTCTTCACTTACTCTGATGAACTTTTAGAATTTTATCCTCACCTCCACTTTTTTTTTTTTTAAATGGAGGTGAAATTCATAAAACACAAAATAAACCATTTCAAGGTGTATAATTGGGTAGTATTTAGTCCAATCACAGTCTGTATAGTCATGGTCTCTTTACAGTGTCAGACATTTCAGCACTTTCCAAGGTGACTCGGCAGCATTTACAGCAGTCATTCTCATGGTCCCTTGTCCTACTCACAGACTAGCATCCACTCTCTTCCTGTCTCTATGGTGTTACCTATTCTGCACAGTTCATCTGAGAGGAGTCAATGTCAGTCAATACCACTAACAACTAGGAAAAGGCAAATCAATAGGAGTAAGTCAGTTTGTTGTAGTAGAATAACTACATTTTAAAATTAAGAGAAAACAAAGGTATGATGAAACTGGAGAATGTCCTCACTGCAGGTGAGGATCTAAACAGGGTCTTACTTATGGAAAGTTTTGTCAGTTCCCCAAAACTTTAAAACAGAATTTCCATTTGACCCAGGAATGTGTGACCTGTTGCACTTGGCAGCTTTCAACTAGCATAATGTCTTTAAGGTTCACTATGTTGTAGTATGTATCTGTACTTCATTATCTTGTAAAACAATTGAGTAATGCCTCGTTATATGACTATATGACATGGGCCTTGCCCATCATTTAATATATGCTTGAGTTGTATTACCCTGTGGCTAATGTAAATAAAGTTACTATCAACACTGATGTGACGAGTGTTTGCTCTAATACCTGATTTGAATTCTCCTGGTTATATACCTGAAGGTGTAATTCCTGGGTCAAATGGAAATTCTATTTTAAAGTTTTGGGGAACTGACAAAACTTTCCATAGTGAGACCCTGTTTAGATCCTCACCTGCAGTGAGGACATTCTCCAATTTCACCATACCTTTGTTTCCCCTTAATTTTAAAATGTAGTTATTCTAATACAACAAACTGACTTATTTCTATTGATTTGCCTTTTCCTAGTTGTTAGTGGTATTGAACACATTTCTAATGAGCTTATTTGCCACATGGAAATGTTTCTTCAGAGAAATATCTACTTAAGTCATTTCCTCACTTTATAAATTTATTCTGTTGTTGCTTCCGAGTTGCAGCTTTTGCGCACTTGGGACAATAATTTTTCATCAAATATACAACTTGAAAATTACTTGAAAATCCTTTGGATTTTAATGAAGTTCAATTTACATATTTTTATTTCATTGCTTATACTTTTGGTGTCACATTTAAAAATGCACAGCAAAATTTAAAGATCCTATGTTGTCTTATATGGTTTCCTATACTTTTTCTTTTCAATTATTTCATGTATTTTTTTGGGTATGGCATGATGTAGGGATCACCTTCTAGTCTTGAGAGTTCTCTGCCACCTGACTGGATGGGATGAAATCAAAGCCTCAGATCATGTTTCTGGACAGGTCTTGGTCTGGAAAGATACCCCAAATAAGCCTTTTGCTGTCTCCAAATCTTAACTTACCCATTGTTATTTCAAATGTTTGCTGCTCTGAGTAGCATTCTCTATCCACAGGAATGCATCCCTCTACCCAAAGACACCTTTATTCTTTTCTAGAAGAAATCACAACCATAGCACAAGCAATAACATGACCAGCCTCTAAAGCCCCGCCCCTGACTCTTGCAGAGAATTAGAGAAAACGTACTTTGCTCCATTTGCTCTATTTGTTATGTAAGCACACAGTCTGAGCTATGCATGACAATTCTTTCTGAGGTCCTTGAGATCAAGGAGAGAGAACACTTATCCCTACAATACTTCCATAACACTTCTTATTTCAAATATCCTTCTCTAGTTCCCATCTCACTACTAACTTTGACCTTTTTATTAAGCAAATAACAGAGATGTTCATTTTATTCCACAGAGCTTAAAAAGAATGAGATTCCAACTCTTCCAGGTAGACTATCCATTCCTCTATCCAGAAGAGCTGTGTGTGTTTGCTGTTATTACCAACAAATGCTTGTCTAGGCATGAGACTCTTATAACTCTCCCTAGATGATGCAGTCTTTGCTTGGTTCTCCTTCTTCTTACCAGTAATGGTAGGCAGTATTTATTCCTTGGTATAGAAAAAAAATGTATTTTTTACTTCACTATATTATATTCAAAAGGAATGTTTTGATTTCTAATATATGTGACTTCACATAACAATGTTATGCTGACACCATACTCTTTCCTATCCTCTCGAGTTCATTAAAGATGTTTTATACAAACTGATACTATTTATTTGGTCTTGCATTGTCCAGATTCTGACTGCAATCTATAGGACAATCATATATGCCTAAGCTAAGGTGTAGCAGAATTAGAAAGTAAGAGCCAAAACAGTAACAGGCTAGTAAGTGGTGAATGTGGTAGTTATGGCAAGTCCGTTCCTTAGCTTTGGGGTCTGAGGTTTAGTGGAAGAATCTAAGACTAAGAAAATAGAGGGAGTGCCAGTGACAGCATGCCTCCTATCTCTGTGACATGCCTCCAAACAGTTCCTAGTCTACCATTTTCCCTGCCTGATGCTTTTACAGAGCATAGGATACTCATCCTCTCACGTTGGGCAAGTTTTACTGAAAGCACATAAAACTTTTTTAGAAATCTTTGGTGCAACCAAGTATCTCATGGGTGGAGACTTAGACTGAATTAACGAAGATATACTTTGAAAGGCAAGTAAAATATGATGCAAACATAAATCTACCTCCTACATTTGATTGTTAACTAAAGTACATCACACACACAATGTAGAGGAATACAATACAAGGGAATACAAACAAACTATAGGCTAAACAGTCCATGTGCACAGCCACTCCTAGTATATAAATCATAAGACAGGTGGGCACTATTTTTATTTAGTTTTCAGTTTTCACAATGAGCTTTCTCTAAAATGAATGTTTTAAAGAATAAATTGGATTCGATTGATAAAATCCTTATTCAGAAGTATCTACATAGAGCTTCTCAGCTATAAATATTAATTAATTGGATCACTGGTACCCATAATGCAACTTTGTTCTGACCCATGTGCCCTATGAACTAGATATTTTTTGGATTCAATTTTCTTAAAACCAACTGTCAGCATCATGTGATAGAGGAGATGAGAAATGAAAATGAGGCATCCCGCTGTGCAGGTGGGTGACCTGTGGGAGAGAGTCTGCCTGGTAGGATTTCTACAGCAACCATCAGACACAGACCAATTGATTAGATCATCTCATACCCGCCACCAACTAGGCTCAAGAGACTAATTAGGGAGAGTACTGCCTGCGCAGGCACCCCATTGACACCTAATTTGCTCAGCCAAAGCCTTTGGGGAAAATGTATTATCTCTGCAGCTGCACTTCATGCATTTCTGATTTGAGGCATAAGCAAGGAGCACTCCATCACTCTTTTGAGAAAGCTGAATGCAGAAGCCCTTAAGTGCTAAATGCAAGCAAACAGACTCACACTAAAAACAGGCCAGGCTCTTTCTAATTCCCTCTGTGCTCTCTAATAAATCTTTGTGTGTACAGACACACGCCACTACACACATGCGCGCCGTTTACACGCCGGAGGGAGAGCAGAACTGAGGCTCGGGATAGGCTGTTCCCACATGATCCAGTGGCCTGTGTTTGATGCTGGCCTATTTACCCTGACAGAGGTTTTGTGTTAATTTTTGTTGTGGGCTCCTCCCTCCACCCTTGTCTGCTGACTGTCCTTCCTCAAAGTGTTTTTTTTTTTTTTTTGTCTCCAGGAAGACTTTTTACAAAACACTTCCCTCTTAGTCTCAACAGAGAAAAGCTATTATTTTGGTTCAAAATTCAAACAACTGTATGCTTTCCTTTAGTCACCTAAGTTAGGACTGGATGCTGCCAGGTTGCAGGTGTGGCTGAGGGACTCCTGAAGAAGTCACTATTTAACTGAGAATAAACATCAAC